TTCATGAGGAGATGGGGAAAAGTAGATCCACACAGGCCCACAAAATATGGTTTTTTGTATGACATGTTGACTGAGAAAAAGTGCATGAAAATGAGAAGAGTGGACCACACTGAGGCTGTAACACTTTGCAAAGATGTTTCTAGTTTCAAATGGATTACAGAAGGTAACCCATGTGGTGAAGATTTTAGTCTTCTGATATTTGGGAATTTTCTGAAATGTATTTCTTACCAAAAGCCCAGACTACATCTATAATCTGTCTTAAGTCTGTAATAAATTCTGAGTAAAATGCCTAGTATATTTGTCACAGGCCTAGAGGCTTTGTATCACTTTTTTTTTTCACACTGTGGCTTTAAATCGTGCCAGGAACGAATTGAGAATCAAAACCAGTGCAGTTCAGGATCAAAACCAGTTTGGGTAAAAAAAAATTATTATTGCTACAGCAAAAATCAAATCCATTTTACACAGGTTTGGACTGGAGAGGAATTGGATCAAAGAGGAGAAGTTAAAAAAAGTATATTTTACTTTTGTTTGAGAGTTGAATGCTGAAAAGTGCTCAGAGTAGCAATGCACATAGGTTCCTGGGTAATCCCATTTAAATCACAAATATAACTTTCAGGTACAGTTCATTTGGTTCCTCTTTCATGTTTTGACCTTTATATGGTTTCAGAGGATTCAAAGAAGCCATTAAATCCTTACCATATTTAACTTGGCAATATGCACAATACAAGGAAGTATTTGTTTAACAAACTTTGACAGGCGTGGCATATCAGCCATTTTTTTCAGTTTCCACAACATTTCCATAGTCTGTTTTGTGACAGATGTTGGAGATATATTCTAAATTTAAAATTACTATGATTGCTACAAGATTCATCTGCACCAAAGGGATGGGACCCTGTCAGGACAAGTGGAAAGCACAGTCAGCAGGACGTAATACCTAAGTACCTCCTGTTTGAGGATCATGGTCCTAAGAGTGACACGCAGTCCTTGTCCCTTCTCCTTGCCCTCCCATTTCTGCAGGCTTCCTCCTCAGGGTCTGCAATGGAATAGGATGAATACCCTCAATGGCATTATTTTGTTTCCTCACACTCACCGTGGTACCCTTTTACAATGAGGTAAATGAAGGAACGTGAAGGAGACCGGGGCTACCAGCATGCTCTGTGAAGGTTTACCCCAGCCTGTGTCAGCCTGGACTACATTTCTCCTTGCGAGTGGTAATGGGGGTCTACGTCAACCCACTCGTGCCCTGCTTCTGCCTGTCTATTACTTATTGCAAAAAGACCTGGCATCACACCAGACCAAAAGTGAATGTACCATGTGGCCCACCAAATCCCCCAGTTCTGCCCCAAACCCTTGTCTCCTCGAGAGAAGGGAAGGGCATGATTTTCAGCACTACAAAGTAATTCTTTAGAAGGGAGAAACTACTGCACTGAAGATGTTTCCCAACTACATATCAAATATCAAACAATGAATTATTTTATATGTGGATTTCTTGGCTTTGAACATTTTCCATGCAGTGATTACGGTGTTTGCATTCCACGAAGTCATATATATTTTAAAATATATTTCAGAAAATTAACTTGGATGGTTTTCAGGTCACAAGAGAAACTTCTTGCCTTTTCTGGGTATTCTTTGTTTAGCAAGAATGCACTTAGTATACAAAGATAAATTATGGTAGCCCACGGGAGTCAGTGCCATATTGTGCAACTCACACAAACACCCATAGGCTTGCAGAGGAGAGCTCTGTTTGTTCAAGAATAAGATCTGGTACTTCTCATAACGGGAGGTCATATTACCTTAAAATGCCTCTGCCCCATAGATCTGCCTGATGAATAACATCTGTTCCCATAACAACTGCCTTTCCAGCAGGAGAGATGGGCTCTGTAGCATGACAAAAAAACAAAAGTATTCCACGGGCACTCCTGTACCAAGGGAGCAAGCGGCCACAATAAGAAACAGAAACCTCACTACAGGCCTGATTCAAACCCTACTGGAGCCAACAGGAAAGAGTCCAGCAGATATCAGGGGGTCTTGGCTTAGGAAGCATGCATACCCCTGTCTCTACTTATATAATGGTAGTTCTATCAGCAGCGATGATATATGTTGGTTGAAATCAAATGTTTCTCCAGCCCTATGCCTTCTTGTCAACACGCACAGCAAAATCTGGTTCACTTTACAATCATATTGATGCAAGCAAAGGAAGACTTTACTGGAGTAAGTGACAGCAGGTATGTTTCTCCATACCTAAAAAAGTGATAACTGTTAATGTAATTTGCAGTCCAGAACTACCAGTCTTCTCATGACAGGAAAGCTTTGTGCAAAGAGAGATCACAGGGAAAGGGACTCCTCTGCTTTGCTTCCATTCGAAAGAACACAGTGAAATCCTATTCCTAACAAGTAAAATTAGCTTTTAGCTGTCATCCAGCTCCTTGCAGCGGAGATAATAAAATCAAGGGAATCTATACTGAATTACCAATATTTCCACTGGAAGTGGGTAAAAAAATCAGCTGAAAAGACTTAGGAATAAAGTTAGCTGGAAGATGGTAATTTGGTTTCACAACAAGTTTTAAGGTTTTAAAATGAATTTTAGTTCTTCAGTGGAATGAAAACAAGACCTCTGAACATTTTGTCAAAATGAAATTGTAGAGAATCACTTAGTTTCTTATCATATAGCACAATTTTTTCTGTTCTGATCCTCTCTCACTCTCTTCCCTTGTTGCTCCCTTATTGCTCCTTGTAATTCCCTTGTTGCTCCCCTTCTCACTCTCTGTCACCAGAGCCCTGGATTGCAAACTCTTTTCAGCTGAAATTTTTTTGAAATCAATACATCTCTGTGAGTTATTTTGTCTTTTCATCAAAAGCGCATTCTGTCAAGAATGTTCATAAACAATCTGCTTGGGAGAAGTTCTTAGCTTGTCCCAAAAAATTGGTATCTTACACATCTAACTGGATAGCCAGCTGCTCAGCTGCAAGGCTTTGGGTGAAAAACACACAGTGAATTGCTGAAATGACAGTCCTATATATTAAAGATGTCTGGGCTATTCTCCTGTCTATTTTTTGCACAGAGTATAAATTCTTTCATATTCCACTCAGCCTATTCTTACTGTACAAAGCACATATTCAATTAAAGCATTCCTCCTCACAATTTTGTTCTCTTGAACCTGATCCCAAGGGTTTTTCAGGATGTACCTGCAAATAGATAGTAGGAAAATATATCTGCCTAGCCTTATGTTCATCTATTTATCCATGTGTTCACTTCAACATGGAATTGGCAAACAAATCTTAGCTGTTTTTAAAAGCAAAGGCAAATGCATGAGCCCCACCTTCTGCCAGTTGTATTTCTTTAAGTATAAATTACAATATTACAAAGTTGCCTCAGACAGAAAATCCTTTACCCTGGTATAGCATTTTAACTTTTCCACAGAGACAGACTTGCTTATTTTTCTTAGAGGTCAGAAGGGGTTTTGCTGTTGTGCTGATATTTTGCATCATCTTCTTCCTTTTGCATCTGAAATAAAATATGCGGCAATGAAATGACAGTGAAAATGCATTGCTCCATTAAAGTGATAGGGATTGTATATATCTGTGCATCAGCAGGTAGGTTGCAGGGGCCAGAGAAGGACTCCTTAATCCCTGATGTATGGAGGAGCCAAGCATAACTGAATTTTTTGTCTGCCTTTGATTGCACCCCCATTTTTAGAAGCTCTGTCTTAAAGAAGTGATGCCTTATGGGTGGGGAAAAAAGGAGAATATACCAATTAGAAACAACCTAACTTCTCTGTCACATCTGGCCTTCATGCCTCAATAATCCCTTGAGCACAGCTCATAAATAATGAGCACTCGGAGACTGACTGTACAATTCCAGTGCATTCTATTGACTTCCAGGGGATGCACAAAAGCATAGCATATATCCTTAAGGCAAAAGCATGTGCTGTTTTCTTGGTCTTCTATCAAATGTCTATTGCTAGTAGTTTAATTACTATTTATTGAGTACTCCTGGTGAGCTATACAGGGCACAAAAAGAATTTCTGTGTATAAACAGAACTGATTTTTATCTGTTTTGCTCTTTATCGTTACCCTGCTATCCATTTCATACCTCTCGTCGTAGCTTTATGTGATAAAGGTTAAAAATATTGTGATTTGAAAAAACTGAGGAAGGTACAAGCAAGCAAGCATGAAGAGATAACCTCATCATGCTAAAAAAAAAAAAACAAACCAACCCTTTTTCCAGGTACAAATAGCCAAGAGGATGTAAAAAAATCATTTTAATCTCACTGAAATGGAAGAAAAAAATTGTACACATCTAACTAGACAGCCAGATGCTCAGCTGTGGCGAGTTTACTAATTCTATTGACTTCAACAGACTTACCTTTTTTTTTGTTTATTGTCAGACTAATACAGTGCCAAAATCTTTGCAAGTGTTAACAAAAAAAGTAACTGCAGTGTAAGAAAATTAGAGGGACACATGACACAAACTTGTTCCATAAACTTCACAGAAGCATACCCCGGTGGAACATGAAGGAAAGGTGGAAACATAAGTCACCTTTGTGTGATCTGGCTCCTGGTAAATCACATCTTCACCTCTGGTTATAAGAATGGCATACCATCAGGACTGGATTGTTTTGTTTGGAATAGGATTTGAAATGAGCAAAGTGAACTATTTTGTTGGTAGGAAAGAAATCAATATGCAGATCTGGTTCCAAAACTTTCAAGTCATTATTAGTTTTATAACAGGACAAAGAGAAAAATGCATCTGAGAACTTAAAAATCTAGATCTGGATTCAAATGTTCTGTCTTTGTCACATATTTAGAGGTATCCTTTTGGTTACTCCTAAGGGGATATATGTTGCAAGGTGTTTTCATTAGCCAAAGCTGACTGGTCCTTCTGCATACATCTTCTACCTTTAAACTCTTTCCAAGTAGTTTTTCTGGGATCCATTTCCTAAAGGTAAATGGACTAATTTCATGACAGTATCTGTTTTGTTTTCTTTCCTCTGCAGGCTTAAGTAATAATTGGGTATCTTGCTAGCAGAACAGAAATGAATAACTCAACGTACATAAACTCTTCCACCGAAAATGTGATGGCTTTGGAGAGCCCCTATAAAACTGTTGAGGTGGTCTTCATCGTCCTGGTAGCAGGGTCTCTCAGTCTAGTTACCATAATTGGGAACATCCTGGTCATGGTGTCAATCAAAGTCAACAGGCACCTACAGACTGTCAACAACTATTTCCTGTTCAGCTTGGCCTGCGCTGACTTGATCATCGGCATCTTTTCTATGAACCTATACACCCTCTACACTGTGATAGGTTACTGGCCCTTAGGGCCTGTGGTATGCGACCTCTGGCTGGCTCTTGACTATGTGGTCAGCAACGCCTCTGTAATGAACCTCCTCATTATCAGCTTTGACAGATACTTTTGTGTCACCAAGCCTCTGACATATCCTGTAAAGCGGACCACTAAGATGGCAGGCATGATGATCGCAGCTGCGTGGGTGCTGTCCTTCATCCTGTGGGCCCCTGCAATTCTTTTCTGGCAGTTCATTGTGGGAGGAAGGACTGTCCCAGATGGGGATTGCTACATACAGTTTTTTTCCAATGCTGCCGTCACTTTTGGCACTGCCATTGCAGCCTTCTATTTGCCTGTTATCATCATGACTGTCCTTTACTGGCAAATCTCTCAAGCCAGTAAGAGTCGGATAAAGAAAGGGAAAAAGGAAGCTGCCCAAAACCAAGATACAGTTTCCCCCAGTCTTGTCCAAGGTAAAATAGTGAAACCAAACAATAACAACATCCCAACCAGTGGGGATGGGCTGGAGCACAGCAAAATTCAGAACGGAAAAACCACTGGAGAGACTGTGACAGAGAACTGTGTTCAAGGGGAGGAGAAGGAGAGCTCCAACGACTCCACCTCTGTCAGTGTGGTCGCTTCCAACATGAAAGAGGATGAAGCTGCCAAAGATGCCAGCCAGGGCTCTGCCTCCCAAGACCGTCTCAAAGTGGAGAACTCAAAGCTGACATGCATCAGGATAGTCACCAAGTCCCAAAAGGGTGACTGCTGTGCCCCCACCAACACTACTGTGGAGATTGTAGGCACCAACGGGGAGGAGAAGCAGAACAGTGTAGCGCGGAAAATCGTCAAGATGACAAAGCAGCCAGCCAAAAAGAAACCACCTCCTTCTAGAGAGAAAAAAGTGACAAGGACTATTTTGGCCATCCTCCTGGCCTTCATCATCACCTGGACCCCATACAACGTGATGGTGCTCATCAACAGCTTCTGCACATCCTGCATCCCTAGCACTGTATGGACCATTGGTTATTGGCTTTGTTATATCAACAGCACCATCAACCCTGCTTGTTATGCGCTGTGCAATGCTACTTTCAAGAAGACCTTTAAGCACCTTCTTATGTGTCATTACAAGAATATAGGAGCTACAAGGTAAAAATAATAATAAAAATAATAATAGAAAGGGTGAAGAAGTTCCAAATTAAATTAAAAAAAAAAAATGCCACAGCACTTTATGCTCTTCTACAGAATGTGCAATCCAGGATGTTAGTGGAAATACTGGCATGGGGCACCAGCTCCACCCCTGAGAACTACACTTAAAAACAGTTTTTTAATTATTGAAAATAAATCCTGAGGACATGGGGATGTTTGAGGAATTATTCAAGTATGTGGACTGGAGGCACAGTTCCTTGCTTTCTGAGAATATTCTGCAGAAGGGCTTTAGAGTCTACGATTTTTCATCATTATGTGTAAAATACTTGTTCTTTATTTTTCTTTTTTTTTTTCTGTGTCTGTTTAATATGTCTTCATCTAGAGGAAAAAAAAAAGGAGTTTTAACAATAACTGTGTGGAAGAGGCATAGGAGTGTGGAAGATCATTACGTAATCCAAATGAGTCATGGTAGAAGGTTTCTAAAGCTCAAAGTTGTCTAAAGCTTTTTTGTCACTGTCATGTAAGAACCTTAACGTTAGGTAAATCATGATGAAAGTTATTTTATGTTGTTTATGATACTACCATTTCCAAAACTGCATCAGTTCTGAAAGTGTACTTATTCTCAACATGTAACCATTGCCTAACCTGTGTATCATTCAAAGTCTGCCGCTTGTCCTCTTCTAGGAGCTTTTGTTCCATGATTCCTTCATCATGTCAAGATAAAAGTGAAAAAAAGGTGGTTTTTTCCAGATTGCTACATCCCAAGACTATTTCAGCATCCATGTAAACCAAAGCTTTTGAGACAATTTTGTTCACTTTGTTTGTCATATAACATCTACTCGTGGATTTGTCTTTTACCTCCATCAGCCTTTTCTTCCTTTTTGTACCAGGGCACGAAGACTGAATATCAAAAGAAGTCATAAATTCAAAGGTCTCATCCAGTCAGCCACCATAGTGGTCAAACAAAGGGCCTCAGCTAGGCTATTACCAGGAAAACAGAGGTTACATCCTTTTAAAATTGGATGTACAGATGAAGAGGTATGCTGAGGCTCCACAGAATGAATATTTAATATTAGATGACCATGCTCTTGACCAGTCAAAAGATGATTCACACTCATTTGTTGAGGAAATGAATAAGATGGGCTGACATGCCCACATAGATCAAGCTCTGCCTAAGCCCTTATTGTGAAACCAGGGTCCTTCCTTGCTGTATCCTGGACAAGATGTTTACTTTGTGGAAAAGATATTGGCTACATTGCCTTTTGTATCAGCTGGGAGCAATATTTTAACTGTAAGCCAAGGCATAACACTAATAAAAAGGCAGAGAGGAAAACATGATTACACAAAACCAGATACTGAAATAGTCTGGATGGGGGGCTGGCAGAGGTCAAGTTCAAATATTATCTGCTACTCCACACCAGCTCAAATTTTTTCTGCCTGGCAAAGAATGTACTATTTCAATATTTGATATTTACTGTAGCACAACTAAGCACTGTGTGGACAGGACAAAGTGTATCAGATTACTGAAAACAGCAATTGTCTGTGAGTTATGCATATTCTGGTTACCTCCTTCTTAGTAACTCTAACTTCCAGGCACTAGTGAAGGTACACCTACAGATTTTGTTACCCAAAAAAGTAGCTTGCTGCATAGACAGTGTCCCAAGAGACTGTTTTCTGGAGTGAAAGCCACCTACTAAATAGACTACTAAATCATTCTGTTATTTCATGCTACCACGTTGGAGTCTTCCAAAATGCACTTCCAAATAGCAGCCTTCAAGATTACAGGGAAATTAATCTTGCAGACTTAAGTTTTACATTTGACAAGCTTATTGGAACACAGTGTCAAAGCACTTTGGCAATATGACAATTTTCATGTTTCAAAGTACAAGTTCCTAGCAGAAAGTGAAAATGAGGAGGATTAAACTGCAGTACATTAAAGCCACATTAAACTCAGGATTAATGTGTCTTAATATGCATTCATTGATTTTATACCCCTAGTGATTTCATCCTAATATATCTAAGTGTCTCCATGCAGCCAAGGATCTAATTTTGCAACCCTCACTTGCCTTGAGTCATATTTACTATCACTATTTTCATCTTCCTATTTGTAAGGAAGAATTACTCAATGATAAGGCTTGCAAAACTGAGTGCTGCTTGGCTTTCAAAACTACATTCATTAGGCTTATCTTGATAGGTCAAAGGAAAGACTTACATGATCATTTCTAGATCATTCATTATGTTACAGTGTTAAAAATCCAGATATAAATGAAAGATGAAATGAAATCTCTTCATTTTCTAAATCTTATTTCTTTGGAAAAGTTTCATAAAAGAAACACACTTGCTTCCTTCTTTCAGCAAGTACTGTGGGTATCAATAGTACAGGTACTCAAACTGGGAAATAATGGTTTGTATATTCTTATTTAATCTTTTAATTCCAGTTTTCCAGCAGGTGTGCAAATCCTTTATTCTCACCTTTGAAGCTGTCACTTGTTCATAAATTATGAATTCCTGTAACAGCTAAGGACACTTCTACAGGTTAAGTGCAAGATATAGATTACAATTACACTTTTTCATTATGTGATGGGATGACACTCAAAATACTCTTCAGAAAAAAAATATTTGGGGGCCAGCATTCATGAAATAAACAACAAAAAAAAAAAGAAATACCTTCCAGTTTGAGGCTTTCTAGCACTTTTCCCTAGCACCACCCCCACTTGCAATCCTAAAGGACAAGATGCTTTGCTTTGTGTTATAATATATTTAAAAGGCTTGCAGAACTCACAACCCTGTGTGTTTCCACCTTGTACCAGTTCAATGAAAAAATATTTCCATGGTACCTCCACATTTGCAGACAATTAAACGATGTAAAAATAGATGACATAATGCATCTGCGCATGTACATATACAGGCATGCAAACACATACCTTAACATGGTTTATATGCATAAAAAATAATCATCTAACATTCAAGGTATTGCATGGGATTGTGTCTGTGTTGCACTCATTGGAAGCTGGTGGGAGGTGCAGAGCTAACACTTACTCATGACACTCTCTACCCCTTCCTGAGGGAGAGAGGAGGCAGAGCCTGCCCTGAGATACTGGGAACCTCTCGGGTCTTCAGCTGGTTGTGGCTCAGTAAGACAAGAAGTGGGATAATCTTTCAGCGCCACAAAATAATTTGTTCTTTTGAACATCTTTTGAGCTCTCATGTCTTTCCTTTGTGTCCCAAACCACGTTTACCAGGTTTCACTTCCCTTCTGAGTGATAGTTCTGCAAGATGTAGATGTCGGTCTTGAAGATCAGCGCTCCCTGGGTACCTCCTCCGGCTTCCCTGGCTGTCACCTGCGCCCCGTCGCCCCCAAGGCCCCAGGTGGCCCTGCTGCTGGTGCTGCCACGTCTTCACCTTGGGCTTGGCCAGAGGATCCCAGCAGCACATCCACACCATGTGATGTGCTGGCCACTTTCGTTTCACATAGAAATTGAGCAAACTGTGCAGGTGACTCATGAAAAAAAAAACCAAAAACCAAACCTGTAGTTAGCACTTCTTGCCCTCTCCTTTTCTTCCTCTTAATTATTTCCAGAAACAGGCTAAAACTGAAAAGGCCCAACCAACCCTTGACAGTAGCCCTGCTGCAGCAGGATCTGTCATGTCGGCAGATCCATGGGAAGTGACTTGTACTGTCACAGGCCAGCCCTACCTTCACTCTCCGGGGAGAGGACAACATTCTGAAGACTTGTCAATCCAACTGGTATCTTTTCTGAGTATTAAAGATATCTGTGGTTAAAAAAAAAAAAAAAAAAAAAAAAAAGAAAGAATGAAAGAAAGAAAGAAAAAAGCTGAAGTTGAGAAATCTGTTTTCCAGTGAGGGCAAAACCTAAGAAAAATTTCTGTCAGCCTTCTGTTTGGGATTTTCATTTGATTTACTAGGAACCATGAGGATCCATTCAGAGATAGCAAAGAGTTTGAACATTGTCTGATGAAAAATAATCCAAAGCCAACAAACACATCTATATAGGTCAGATTTTCTTTCTTTCTTTCTTTTTTGCCTCACAAATGGTCGTGGAGATGGGAGTGTTCAAATGGATCCCAGGGATCAGTTGTCTGGCATCCACAAACCATGATGGGGACAAAAGCAAGTGCTAAATCTATCAGCCCTCTGGTTTATATTTTTCTGGTGGAGCAAAACATATTGACAAGAGGAGGCGTCTTTACTGAGTGTGGCTGTGGTAAGAACAGCCCACACACTGGTGAAGAAACCCTCGGCCATCCCAGCTGGGACAGGTGCAGGAGGGGATGGACATTTTTTTGTTTGTTTCATTTCCTGATGGATTCAACCTTGTCCATGTGTCTGCTTTGCAGTGGGGCTTGCTAGTAAACTCACTGGCCCCTCCCCCAGTTTTGATTAATTTTGATCCCTCTTCTTCATTCTTATGGATGCAACAGCTGCCCCAGTGCTGCCTGTGAATAGGCCTCCTGGTTTCTCCTGTGGTGCTGAGGTGGCACACTTTTTGAATTTTTCACGTCCACTGGCAGCACCTCTCCTTGCCACTTCTATTGCTGATCCTTGTACCAGCCTTGTAGGACCAAATAGCATCCTCACAGCCATCACGCTGCAAAGCTGGCATGATGCAGCTGGGGAGACAGGAAGAGTGCTGCTGGTATTTGTTTTCCCTCCCATTACAATAATTCCTAAAAGTCTTTATTTTTTTGACAAATCAGAGTACTTCTTGTGAGAAGCTAAAGTCTTAGGAAAGAAAGAGCAGGAAAACAAATTCTGGTCCCATGGGTGGGGGACTATGCTGACAGGTAGTGGGTTTGGAGCCTTTGATATTTCTAAAGATCTCTTCCTAGATGGCTCTGTACTCTCAGCTGACAGCAGTGCAAGTGGTAGAAGTTGAGAAGCTTAAAAGAAGTAGGCTTTTTTTCACCCCTGGCTCTACAGATGTTTTATATAACATGTCTAGAGACACTTGCTAGGGATGTGATTTCTATACAGTACCACTTTTATTGTTCTTGTATATCATGAAAAACTCTAGACTTTTAAGAAACCTTTTTTTTTTTTTAATTTGTAGAAAATCTTTCCCTGAAAGAAGCTGAGAGATGGTCCTTAATTTGCTGTGGCTTCTTTTCTCATTTCTCTGCCTGTCTTTCCTTTTGTCACA